CCTTGGCTCTGACCCTGACTAGGTGGGAGGGCAGCCCATGAGATGCTGTGTTGGACCAGCCCCCGAGAGGCCCCTCCCCAGCCCACCCCTCTCTCAATCTGGTCCCATCTCTTTTACTTTCCCTTCCTTCAAAAGGCTCCCTGGGCAGCTGCCTTGGGCCTCAGGCTGGGGCAGGGCCCTCCCCTCTGCTGCTCTCTGCTTTTCAGACACTGAGTGAGCCTTTACTGTCATCACCCATCTGGGGCAGCCTCCCTGTTAGACCAGGATTTTATTCGCTTTCACATGCCCGGCACTCAGAGCACTGAGCTAGTAAGCCCACTGGCTTTCCAGGTCTGAAGCCTGCCATCCGGTCAGCACAGCCTCACCATTGCTGCCAGTGCTCGGCCTGTGTGCAGGGCCGCTCGCCACTCCAGGCCACCTCTGGCCAGAGCAAGGACACAGGACCTGGTGGTGCAGGAGAAGGCTGTCCTGCTGGAAAAGGGGGTGACCCTTGCCATCTAACCTGCAGCCAATTGCACCTGCCACACTGGCCCTTCTGCAGTAGCAGCCCAGGTTCCAGCTGCCTGTGCCCAGGTGGTCCTCCCGTGAGCACCTCTTCTAAGGACTTCAGCCTTGCAATGGTTGCAGGACTGCCATGCTGAGAAGCACAGGCACTGTGCACAGACTTGACATCTGGGGCCACTGCCCCAGCAGGGGGACGGAATTCCTCTGCTCTGGGGGCCTGGTGTCTACCGTGCTGGATGGCCCTCCCAAGCGCCCCACCCTCACTCCCCAGGTGCTCCTATTCGGGTTTGAGCTTTGCTAAGCACCACCCCTGCTCTGTGTTGGGTGTTGGGGCATCTCCCAGAATGTCCCACCATCTGTGACCCCATAGGAGGAAGAAGGGGCTCCTGGGCTCTCATTTGCTGAGGGCTTCAGAAGCATGAGCTCATGCCATCCTTGCAAACCTCCAGCAACATGAGTGTCATATTTCTGTTTACAGATGAGGAAACAGAGAAGTTAGGTACCTTGCTCAATGCCCTAGAGGTAGTAAGTGGTAGAGCTGGGATTCAAACCTAGAAACACCTGTCTCCTTATTGCATGCAGCAAACCTAGAAACACCTGTCTCCTTATTGCATGCAGCAAACCTAGAAACACCTGTCTCCTTATTGCATGCAGCGTGTTAGACTCTGGAGAAGCCTGTTGTGGATTTTCTCTGCCATGAGACCTCACAGACCCTCGGAGAGAGACGCTGTTTGCTATGGTTTGAATGTTTGTCGCCTCCAAAACTCATGTTGAAATTTAATTGCCCTTGTAGCAGTATTAAGATGTGGGGCCTTTAAGCGGTGATTAGGCCACGAGGGCTCTGCCTGCAGGGATGGGCTTAATGCCATTATAAAAGGCCAAGTTCAGCTTCCTTCTGTCCCTCTTTGCCCTTCTGCCGTGTGCTGATGCAGCAAGAAGGCCCTGGCTAGAGGTTGGGGGTTGGGGTTGGGAAGGCCTTGAACTTCCCAAGCCCCAGAACTGTGAGAAAATACCGTTCATTAAAGATGAGTTATCGTCTCAGGTATTCTATGATAGTAACACGCTATTGCTGCATGTTACAGACAAGACACTATTGCTGTCTGTTTCACCGGTGAAGAAATTGAAGCCCAGAGAGGCCAAGCAACTTACACAGCTGGGAAGTGGCAGGGACAAAATCGGATCCCAGTCTGTCTGTCTGGAGCTGTGATCACACTGCCTGCTGCCTCCCACCAGCCGAGCACACCAGAGGCCCGATCAGTCCTTAGGGGTGCCATCCTTCAGGTGGCCTCGCCTCTGTCTGCAGGACAGGCTTGGCACCAAGCGATGTGCTGCATTTTCCTTTGGAGGTGAACCCTGTCCTCCTTGGAGGGAGGCAAGCCTTTTCTCTTTGAATCTTTTTTTTTTTTTTTTTTTTGAGACGGAGTCTCACTCCATAGCCCAGGCTGGAGTGCAGTGGCACGATCTCGGCTCACTGCAAGCTCGGCTTCCCGGGTTCATGCCATTCTCCTGCCTCAGCCTCCCAAGTAGCTGGAATTATAGGCACCCGCCACCACACCTGGCTAATTTTTTGTATTTTTTAGTAGAGACGGGGTTTCACCGTGTTAGCCAGGACGGTCTCGATCTCCTGATCTCGTGATCCACCCACCTTGGCCTCCCAAAGTGCTAGGATTACAGGCGTGATCCACCATGCCCGGCCTTCTCTTTGAATCTTGATCACAGCTGAGGCTAACTGAGGCTAGCTGTAGCAGGGTGTGGGGTTCAACAGAGAAGAGAAATTAAGGCCTCTGAGCCATTTGTGCTGATTTTCCTATTAAGCTGTTGTTACCATCAAGGCTGAGGCAGCCAGACTTGGATAATGACTGGTTTTGCAGATCAGCAGGATGTAAAGGAGATTCTGCTGTTGGTAAACAGTTTGGCAATTTGAAGAGCAAATTGTGGCCTGCACGAGGAGCGGGGCGGATGCCAGGCTACCCCCGTGGAAACACTGGGGAAGGAAGTGGCGTCTGCAGCAGGGGCAAGAGGCTGGAGGGAGAGAGGTGATGGCAGGAGGCAGGCAGAGTCGGCATGGACCGGGCGCCATCCCCACAAACTTCCAGCCCTGTGGGCCGCCAACGTGCTGGGGCTGAGGGGTCTTGTTCTGGCATTGTGGTCCGATGGGAGACAGGCACGTGGGTGGGTTCTTAAATATAACACACGACCACGGTGCGACACCACTTTACACCCACCAGAATGGCTATTACCCCAAATCAGAAAATAACAAGGGTCTGTGAGGACGTGGAGAGGTCGGAACCCTTGTGCACCATTGGTGGGAATGTAAAATGGAGCAGCTGCTGCGGAAAACAGTCTGGGGGGTCCTCAAAAGATTCATCACAGGATTATCAGAGCATCACGGAATTCTCATATGATCCAGCAATTTCTCTTTCGCGTATACGTGAAAGAATTGAAGACAGGGACTCAAGCACATTTTTGCACAGCTGTGTGTGTAGTAGCATTATTCACAATAGTCAAAGGTGGAAACAACTCAACTGTCCATTAGTGATGAATGGATAAAACAAGGTGATGTGGTCTCTGCATACAGTGGAATATTATTCAGCCTTATTAGAAGGGGAGGGAATTCTGACGTATGCCAGCACATGGATGAACCTTGAAGACATTATGCTAAGTGAAATACAGCAGTCACAAACAGACAAGTGCTGTGTGATTCCACTTCTGTGAAGTGCCTAGAGTAGTAAAATCCACAGTGATAAAGGCAGAATGCTGGGTGTCGGGGCTGGAGGCGGGGTGGGGAGTTATTGTTTAAGGGGAGAGAGTTTCGGTTTGGGAAGATGAATCAGTTCTGTGGATGGATGGTGGTGATGGCTGCACAACAATGTGAGTGGACTTAATGCCACTGACCTGTACACTGAAAAATGATTTAAATGGTAAATTTTATGTATATCCTGGCGATGACAAAACAGTGTTCAGGTGGGATTCTGGAGCCCCAAATCTGCACAATGAGGCTGCAGCCAATTCCTCTGGGGGTGGGGGGTGGCGGCGACAGGTTCTAGTAATAAAGTACTTGTGGTGAGGACTGGTTAACTCATTCATAAACTAGCAAGCGCTGGCTGCACCTGCTCTCTGTGGGACCCTGGGAGACAGCCAGCTGTGGGTGCCCGACGGTGGGTTTCAGCACCACTGCAGGTGAGGAAGAAGGGTTGGGGGGGTGGGGTGGGAGGTCTCCCCAGGCCTCAGAGGCCAGCTGACATCAAGGGCGAGCAGGGGCTCCCTGCGGGGGGTTTGTGCCTTTCCAATTAGGCCCTTATCAACAGCGCAAGTAATTTCAGGTTTGGCTGGAAAAAATTCACTCAATCAGCCAGCGTCTATCATTTCCCTGTAATGACTGTGTTTTGCTCCGGCTGCGAGATGCCCTGAAGCACTTATTTTCTTGAACTCAGAGCAGCTGCAAGGGCCGACTGTGTGAGCTGCCTTGGCAGGGGTCACACTTCCTGCCGTTTTCTTTCTCCTACAGGAATTTAGCTGTCAGCGCCAGGTGAATCGTGTCCCTGCGGCGGGTTCCTTCTCCCCAGACCCCTGCTCCGCTGTCGGGATGGTGGCTAGGTGTCACCCCCCCACCCAGAGGAGAGGTGGTTAATCAGGGTGATGATGATGAAGATGGCAATGACCCCTTTGAGGTGCACAGCCCTTTACAGTTGACACCTCCTATTCCTGGTTATCTCATTTGAGGCGCACAGTCCTTTACAGTTAACATCCCCTATTCCTGGTTGATCTCATTTCACCTTCACAGCCATCCCAGAGGTTCATGGGTTATCCTTATTTTCCAGGGAAGCCTCAGAGACAGTCAAGAAGTGCATCACCCAAATGGCCACCGGTACAGACACTCTAACACCGGCGTGACTGATTCCATCACAGAGTTCACCCCATGCATGGGAGTTAGGGATTTTGTGACTTGATGATAAGCCTTTTGTCCTCCATAAAACAGGTGTGACAAAGCCTTCCCAATTGGCCTCCTGGGCATGGTGAGAAGAACGGGAGGGCATGAACTGGGAGGAGCTATTGGATAGGAGAAAGGGTCAAAGGTGGCATGGCTGCAACTGACCTCCAGCTAATTCACTGCACCTGCTTCAGGACAAGTTCCAACGCTGTGGGTCAGCCTTGAACACAGGGAAATGGGGGTGGGGCGCAGGCATTAGGCCAGGGTGATGGGCCAATTCACATTCGTTATAAAGGAACAAAAACCAGTGATTTCCTCTGAGATACAATCAAGCAAGTTTCCCACAGCAGCTGATGTCACAGAGGGGAGCCACGCAGAGTGAATGGTGGAAACACTGATTGACACTCTCATTGGGAAGAGGCCAGAAGCAGCATTAACACGTGGCTGTCAGAGGGTCAACTAGACACTGGGCCTGGTCCTCGCTGTGCTCCAGGGCTGGGGTCAGCAGGGCTGATAACCTCATTTGCAGAGCCCACGGTGACTTGGAGTCATTTCATTACTCCCTTTGTCAGAGGCGTTTGAACCAGAGCGACTCCATCTTGAATAGGGGCTGGGTAAAATAAGACTGAGACCTACTGGGCTGCATTCCCAGGAGGTTAAGGCATTCTTAGACACGGAATGAGACACGACGTCAGCGCAAGATACAGGTCATAAAGACCTTGCTGATAAAACAGGTTGCGGTAAAGAAGCCGGCCAAGACCCACCAAAACCAAGATGGCGATGAGAGTGACTTCTGGTCTTCCTCACTGCTACACTCCCACCAGCGCCATGACAGCTTACAGATGCCGTGGCAATGTCAGGAAATTACCCTATATTGTCTAAAAGAAGAAAAAGTCATGAATAATCCACCCCTTGTTTAGCATATCATCAAGAAATAACAAAAAAAAAAATGGGCAACCGGTGGCCCTCGGGCTGCCCTGCCTATGGAGTAGCCATTTTTTATTCCTTTGCTTTCTTAATAAACTTGCTTTCACTTTATGGACTTACCTCAAATTCTTTCTTGCGC